ATCTCACTATTTGTTTGAGGTTTCGTTTTCACGACAATGAATATATTTATTGTGGAACTAGTCAAATCTTGGTTTTGTAGTTGGTTATAGTTTAGGATAAGTTCTTGATTACAACACAATCTTTATTCCTTACACAACGTTTATAATCGACAATGATTGTTGGTCAATAAGATATTGAGGAGATTGTTAAGATGATGATGAAATCCTGATTGCTAAATGGTTGAATGAGGTAGGATTGTGAGAGACAATGGTGGCGATAATTGATGTGGAGGTTGTAAAAGGCTTAAGCTATCCAAATCCGTTAACTGAATATGAAGACTGTTAGAAGACTGCTCTGCAAAAAAAAAAAAAATTCTCCAATACTCTCTTGAATCGTCGTTGCTAGTAATTTTAATTCGTTGCTCTCGTTTCCACTGATTAGCTCTTCTTTTGTTATGTTATATTCGCAGTGTGGCCATTCATCTTCTTTCTTCGTTAGCCATCTCGGTCCTTTCCATCAAGAATCGCACGCTGATAATTTAAGAGGACTTAGTCCTCTTGTGCTACGTCCGCTGGATTATGCTTGCTTGGAATATAATGGAATGCAAATTTTGCTGTTCGTATTTCCTCAATGCGGTTTTACACGAACTTCGGTAGAAGCTGTAATTGGTTTTTTATCCAATGTAGAACGCATTTTGAATCTGGCCACAGCGTTATCTTTGCATTTTCTAGCTCCATTTGTTTGATCACGAATTGTCCCATTAGTACGGCTAATAGTTCTAATCGTGATATGATTGTACCCTTGATTGGGGCTATTCGTGAGCTAAATGTACTTTTTCTTTTTGTTTGGCATATAATCCAGCAGCATATGCTACAGAAGAAGTGTCTGTGAAAAAGTGAATTGTTATTTCCTTGGTTGAGTCGATCGTAATACGTGGTACTTCTCTGATGCATGTGTCGTGAAATTCGTTGATTTGTTGGAGGTGATGTCTATGAGTTCCAAATACCACCAGTATTTCGACCAAGGTTGATTTACCTTTCGCGTTGTTTGCGGGGAGTCGATTGAGGTGTATTGAGTTGGACAAGGTTATGTTGGATTTGAGTGACAGTTGAGTTCAAAGGAGAACCGAATCCAAGGGACAACTAATGTGCGTTGCGTTGTGTGGACGAACGAGTTATCCCGGCTCTATGGGGTTAAAAAAGATGATGTACTCCAATACAATCAGGCTTATAAAACATTAGGAAGTGGGAGT